AAGCAGCAACATTTAACTCCAGCAGTTCGATCTGCAGGAAAATACTTCGAGGATAAGCCATAGGAATAAAGCACATGCTCGGTGCTGTGAGTGAATGCTGAGAAGGATTTATCGTTGGATACATGTCATCAATTCCACATTAAGTACTCCATCTAGGATAAGGTAGGGGAACTACACAACTGGGAGGTAAAGTGTGACCTTGTTCTTCCCTCCTTGTGATTCCTTGGAGCTGAGAAAGAAGTAGGAGTTCTGTTTCAGAGCAAAGGAACGACTCAGTTTTTAATTGTTACCATGGGTGTCTCTGGCCGTGGCCCCCCTCTTTGAACTCAGATGACGAGTCCCTGATACACTCCGGCTCAGACTCCTTTCGCCACACGTCCATACCAGGAAGCAGAGCGGGCTAGGCGGACTAGGCTATGGGATGGGGGTGGCATGGCACCACCTGAGGCCCTTTGTCCCTTTCTTCCTCATCAGCTTCATGGTCGTGGCCCTTGTCTACCTAATGCAGGCCATTATCTTTGGGGGGCCCTTTAAGGACCCGCTTTTCTTTGTCAAGTTTAATGAGCGCTGGCCCCGGCCTGCTCCAGGCAACATGACTCTCCAGCACCACCAAGGGTTTCAGTCCGGTCCCCTCTATGTCCTTTGAGCAAGTCGTCTTTGGATGCACACGGACAACAACACTATTTGAAATATTTGTTTGAAAAAAAACTTAGGAACTGTTTTTTTTCTCTCTGTGGATATGAAAACAAAGACTCCCAACGGATTACAAGAGGTGCCAGTGCTATCAAAAGGGCACAGATTTATTATTTGGCTAACTTTGACTAATTTCATTTGGGTTGTTGTTGAAAGTCCCCTATATGTCCTTTTTACTTGAGCCTATGACTAAAATGTTATGGAATGAAAAATAAACAGTCTTTTTTGCTCTGATCTTTTAAAAATGTGCAACTGAATTAGTTGATTCTCATATCAAGGTCAAGAAATCTGACAGTAAACGTTTGTTCAGTCTGTCATGCGTTGGATACATGACAATTGGCCACGGTGTATTTACAAATAACAACCTTTTAAATATTTATTTTTGTAGTAGGCCTACTCACTTTTTGGACAGGGCTTTTTAAACACTTTACATCGAAGGCACTTAAACTCGCTGGCCCCCTGATTTTTACAGTAAAGAACAGGTGATATCATAAAGTATGTTTGGACCTATTATGTTTGGACAGTTAACACTCGAGCAGATTATTCTATCGCGAAGCTAAAATTGAAATTTCAGCAAAGAGTTTTTATTATGTAGATAAATCTTCCAAAGAAAACCTTCTTTAGTTCCACTTTGTTACTTTCCCCTCACTAAAGCTCAGCAAGCAAAAACTGTCCATGAAGCAGAATGAGGAATAAACAAATCAAATCATACAATTATGACATTACACACAATAAGAACCATTTTCCCCTTCACTCCCACTGAAATATGGAACAACTTTTGGAGCCAAACTCCTACTTCAGTAAGCTATTTAACATCCTCAGAGATTGTCTTTTAGGTGACAATGACACAGAACCGCTGTATCAAGCCACATGCTGAAGCTTATCCAGGTGAAGCGAAAGGGGAAAGTACGAGACGTGAATCATCTCGCATTTATTGTTTTGTCCTACTCTTTGACTGTCTGTCGCTGTGGTCTCTGTACTGTACTGCCCCCCCCCCTCCCCCTGGTGGCGGAGCGACAAACTGCAGTGTGATGACTACTGTGGACGACCACGCTGACCCGTGGATGACCTCCCAAAAACGGCCAGGGGAAGAAAAAAAAGAAAAAGAAAATACAACTTTTATATCACCTTATTTCGAAACACATGTAGTGTCAAGAAAGAACAACATTTCTTTAATTTCTTTGAGGACGGATTTAGAAAGCGAGGATTGAAGTCGGTGAGTGAAGATGTCTGTCACCTGTCCGCGTTTCTCTTCATAACTAACATTCCGCCTTTTACAAAGAAGCTAATTATGTCTCGCACAATTTAGAGACAGCAAACTGATGTTAATGACATAATAACCAACAGGTTGTCTGTTATGACAAATGTACACCTCAGCTCTGTAGTTGACCGGACTTGTTGCTGATTAGCATTGGTGCTAAGCAGCAGGTGTGCTTTGAGCTCTGTCCAATTAAAGTACAGGTTGTCCCACTTGTTTTACAAGCTGTGTTCATCAAGTTAAAAAAAAAAATACAACCTTTGTTATTTTTTATTTTTGCATTGGCTGTGCAAATAAATTGGTTTTCTGTGAAAATAAATCAAGCCATACATCAGTATATATTATATATAGCTGTTAATTATAATTACATCAAGTGTGCAATAAATAGGGTTTAAGGTTTAGCTTCACTGTTATACCAAAATACTCACGCAGATAACATATCGACAATTATTGACTAATATGATAAGAATGCAGTGACATATTTAAAAATAGAAAAGTATTATTAAGAGATTTTAAATGAAAAGTATTCACAAGGAATATAGATGTTAATTTAAATATGAATGAACGTGTACCTCATTTAAGTTTATTCCACTACAAGAGTTAATAATAGGGCTGATATTATTATACAATACTCAAGTAACTTGTGTATTAAACATTTGTGGTGTAAATTCACATTTACCTTTCAAGTCATCATCAGTCAAATAAAAACAAAGAATAGACAAGAGATCGATCCTTCTTGTTACAGTCGACTTTTGACCAAATAATGTGCGTTACTGTGTTCATAGAGTCATAATTGAGCTTTCCATTGGTACAACACAGTATACAGACTCACCAAGTCACCAAGTTATACACACATAATGTAATGTGTGTTGTTTTCATATTGTGTAAAATTGACTGATGATGTGACCAGTATGCTGTTGAGGTTTGACGTGAAGCCCAGGCGTGCTTACATGGATACGTGTATGTGATGTTGATCCTGGTGAAGTGTTTAAAAAAATGTTGCTCCTTCTCATGTAATTATATATATATGTATGTTCAAACTGCATTCTGGCTGCATTGCGTTAATCCCATTGTTTTCATGTTTGTGGCAAATACAACTGTCTTTATTGTTTACATTTAAAATGAAATTCATAACAGTATGGATTTTTTTTCCACTGAGTTGTGATTCACCTCTCTCCTCCACCTCCTCTCTGCATCTCCTCTGAAGTTTATGGAGAGATGTGGTGCTACCAAAAGCCGGGGTTTGAAGCCCTCCTGCTCGCTGAGCTGCAGAGACAGCAGCAGTGCAACCAGTTCTGTGACACTCTGATCAAGACAGAAGGTATAAATACACTACATCAGGGCACTGATGGCATGGCGGTTAGGTCGTGCCCTATGTACAGAGCGTATAGCCCTCCAAGTGGGCGGCCCGGGTTCAAGTCGGACCGACGGCTCCTTTCCTGCATATCATTCCCCACTCTCTCTCCTGATTTCCTAATCTATCTACTGTCCAGTCTAAATTAAGGCAAAATGCCCCAAAATTAAAATCTAAAAAATAAACAAACACACCACATTGAGCCACTCTTCACTTTCCTGTCAGAGATTGTTTTTTACTTTATTTTCTGTTAAGGAGGTATGCATAAAGACAACATGAAAATCTTCCAAAATTTGCAGTTCTGACGTGTCAATTATACAGTTTGACTTTATTATCATCACTAACACCTTAACTCTCTCCCCCAGGTGTATCTGTGCCAGCTCACAGTTGTATTCTCTCAGCTATCAGCCCCCAAATCTCCTCCTCTCTGTCTGCCTTGCCAGCGCCTCCTACAGGACAGAGCCGTCACTTGGACTTTCGCGCTCTCGGCACATGCACCCTGCTCCACCTTGTCAGACTGCTGTACTCTGGACAGATGGCTGGCGAGGGGGAGGAGGAGAGGCAAGAAGCTGTTTCGGCTGCAGCCAGGTTGGGAATCCATGGGCTGGTGGAGGTCACGAGAGGAAGAAATGAGGAGGGAGAAGGCCAGCACAGGGAAGAAGGAGTGCAGACAGAGCCACTGATTCCTGGTGAAGGTGAGGAGAGAAGGGGAAGGTGGAGGAGAGAAGAGAGGAATGAAGGCACTTTTTTGTGGAGAGAGACGGTGTCAGATGGTAAAAAAGACACATGGACTCAGACAGAGGAGCTACAGGTAACCACAGCAACCCCCTCTCATCCAGCAGCCTCCTTTGAGACAATCGATATGGGTGCTCTCCAAACGTTACAACAGACAGAACCCCATCTTCTTCCCCCTTATGTTTCCTACCTCCCAGTTTCCCTCGTCTATGAACCAGATGAAACCCAAGGCAGAAATACCCCGTCTACAGACCGCTGTTGGGCTGGAGCAGCAGCTGGAGATCTGGAGGACAATCAGTTGGAGCAGTTTCATGATAACATCCCAGGATACATCAACTACTTCCTGAACCCACATCAAGAGGCGGGCCCCTGCAGAGGGCGAAAAAGTGGGAGGCGAGCAGCAGGAACAGGAGGTACCAGGAGAGCTGCAACAGGTGAGAGAGGAACCCGGAGACCCCAAGCAAAAACAGGAGGGAGAAGGAGGGGTAGGGGAGTGTTAACGCAGACGGTGGATGTGCAGAGTGTTGGGGTGAGCAAGCTTCAGAAGATGTTCCTGCAGAGGTGGGGTATGAAGACTCCCAGGACGGGGCAGGGTGGAGGAGCTGTAGGCAGGAGGTTATACCTGAAGACAAGGGAGCAACTAAAGCCGGCCAAGAGCTGTCAGAGGAAGAGGAGGCGCGGCAAAGAGTGGGACTTCAGCCAGAGTGGCGATTTGAGAGAGGGAGGAGAAAGTAACATACAGCTGTATAACCAGGTGAGAGAGATGAACTGCTGCTGTCCTGTTTGTGACATCACCAAAACATGACAGGGAGACAGGATGATGCTGTTTTTCAAATAAGATAAATTAAAGTTGCAATAGATGAACTTACCTTCTATATTTTGAAAGGATTTGAACATCTTGTAATACAGCATTTTATTTTTAAGCAGGATATAACAAAGGGCAACTGAAACACACACAATCTGTAATTATTTAACTTTTGTGTAACTATTTCAATAGATGACAAAGAAAGTTGATTTTTTCAAACAGTAATTTGCTAGAAAATAAGATATGTAATGCGTTGCACAACTGGGATTTGCTTATGTTCATGACCTCGCCAGTCTGATAAAAGAATCCCAAATGCAACAATCCTCTGTTATAGAAAGTTGAAAAACATTGCGTTTTTGTAACCATGATTCTGTTTTAGAAATTGTCTCTTGTTAGTTTCTGTCTATCAAAGGTATCAGCTCACCATTACAGGAAACAAAGAAAGGCCAGAAAATCATCTCACAATCTGATCAATAAATTACTTTAACAAATGATTAATAACCACAGAGGTTGCTGATGAAGTTTTTAACAACAGTAAATTTGATAATTGTCTTATCATGTCAGCTCCACAAAGATACGCTGGAACTGTCTACATAAATGTCAACTTAAAATGACGTTGGCTTTAAACCTTCTTCCATTGCAGACACAATCTGCTGCTACAGAAATGTTCTGAGTTGTTTCACTTAGTCTTCACTTTTTTAAATATTTGTAAAACCAATGCCGTCAAAGTCAATGTTAGGATAGAGTTTGAAAGATAAAAAAAAAAAAGAGTAGTTTATGTATTTGTGATCTGGTCCTGTGATTAGTTGAACTTTCTCCAGGAATGTTTTGACCAATAAGTAACTCACGTTTGAATTTGATATAATTATGACACCTTTTCTCCCTGCTTACAGGATGGTCTCCCTGTTGGCCGGCCTAAGAGGACAAAGGCCAAACAAACATCAGCTCCTGTTTCTTCCCCTCCTTTGAAATTTGACAATGTTTATCATGCATTATCCAACTCCAGCCCTGTCCTCCATCCTTCTACATCAGCTGTCCTAATGTCACCTGCAGCTTCCTACCTGCCTCCAGCACCATCTCTCTTCCACACCACTTCCCTCCCTCCTGCAGCCCCTCCACCCTATGAGCCTGAACCCATGGATCGTCTCCTGGAGGAAGTGATAATGGGCCTTGACATTTTGCCAAACAACAACAGTGGAGGCCTAAATTCTCTGCCTCTTTCTTCAGCCGGCAGCAGCTGCACCTATGCCTCATCTGGCAATGTTTTGACTGAAAACAAATGCGTTGGCAGTCCCCCTGTACTCCTGGAAGCAGAATCTTCCCGGGTTGTTGGTGGAGGCCTAGGCCGAGGAGGAGGCGTTTCCAGCTCTGCAGTGCCAGTTCTGCAGCAGCAAGGAGAGGGAGAACTGAATGACATGCTTGAGAACTTTCTGCAGTCCTTCGAGCAGCATGTCGGCCGCTGGGACGAGATGGAGAGGGGGAGTCAGAGCAGCACAGTGGTTGTTCTGAGCGAATACAGAAAAACCCAGACCCAGACCAAAGCCCCTCATCTAAAGAATACTCCCCGTCCACTCAGATGTTCTCAAATAAGTGAACTGCAACAGAGTGATGAAGCTGAAACTCTACAGAGCTGTCCACAGCTGTCTCCTCTGGCTCCCCTGAAACATGCTGAGGAAACAGTGACACGAGTTGGAGAGTCGAGGAAGAATAAAAAAAACCAGTATCCGTTCTCACAGATGAAGGGAAGGAAGAGGAAGCCTGTATCATCGAGTAAAGCAAGGGAGAAAACAGTTCATTACAGAGACAAGCAGCTACAGCAGATGCCTGTCGTGAAACTGGAGAGAAGTGGCCCGCTGCCAGTCCGAGTAACGCAGCAGGGACGCAGCTGTCAGAGTCTGGAAGCTGAGGTGACAAACTTTTCAAACAACTCTGCTCTAATGCCTCTGATTAAACTGTATCTGCTGTCACCATCGGACAAGTTAGATTAAGATGTTGAAAAGTTACTTTGAAGTGCAAAGAATGTGAAAGAAATGTATCAAATGTGTGGTGGTTTTTGTGTGTGTGCATTTTTTAGAGTCCCGGACAGACAAAGAGCACTCCATCATCAGTGAAATACCCACATGGTAGCTGGAGCATGAGGTCCTACCCAATCAGGAGCAGGTTCAGGGAGGCCCACATCATGGTTGGAATTGATCCTTTGACAAAACGTTTTTATACTGTGATTCATGGTCTTAAAGAACCCATATTATGCCCTTTTTTGGGGTTCATATATTTAATCTTGCCACAACGAGCCAATGGGCTTAGATCAGTGATATCACACTGACAAGACGTCACACTGACACATTTTTTTTTGAGGGGGGCTAGAACCGAGCGTTACATGCAGCTAATGCTGCAGCTAACAGGAGGAGGTAGGAGAAGCCGCGTTTCCGCGGACTTTGAATTTTTGCAAATAGATGTGGCTAAACATGCACAGGACACATGGAAAACACACTAAAGAGCATGTAAAACCAGAAAAAGCATAATATGGGCTCTTTAAGATGACTGATCCTAAGGTTTGGTGATACCTGAATTTTCCTCAAGCAGAAATAACTGATCATCTTCAAGATTGGCACAACATTTTGTACAGACATTTATGGTGCAGAGAGGAAGAGTCCTTATCACCTCTGTAAAACTTGAACTTTTCAAAAACTTAACAAAATAACTCAACTTACTACACTGATGAAATTCCAGCAGCCTCAGTTGCAATTTGTCTTTAGCATTATTTGGCAAATGGTAGCATGCTAAACCACCTTCAAATATCAACTCAACAATATTTACATTGATATACATTCTACATGTATTTGTTTTAAAAATAAAAGTACTGACATATTTATACAGGCAAGCAGAAAAGTACAAACCAGTTACATGCTGTGCAGTCATCATGGTCATGGATGTCTGTAAATGCGTACATTTACTTGATACTTACTTTTCTTGAAAATTACCTTAACGTGGTAGCTCTTAGCCGATCAAAGTTTCTATCATAGCTGTCGACTCTTTCATTGTCTGTATAATCTAATGAGGTTTATTTGTTTTGCAGGACAGTATGCCCTTTCTTTATGAGCCCCTTTCAAACAAAAAAAACCATCAGATAACCAGCAACCAGGTCCCAAGAGAAGAAAGCCCAAGAAGAATGGACTCTGCAGTGTATCTAAAGGGGGTAGCTCAATGTCATCAATTCAGCAGCAGCAATCAGTGAACGAGCAACTAGAGGAAAATCAAGAAAGGCAGGAAGAAGAATTAAACGTCCAGCGACAAGAGAAGGTAGGAGGAGCCAAGAGGACAGGTAAGAGAAGGAGTGTAGAGTCGGACGAGGAGACAGTTGATGATGCCCCTGCGGCCAAGAAAGTTTGTTTTAAACCAATCCAGCATTACAAACAGCTCTGAAGCCGACAGAACAGAATCAGCGTCGACAGAGAGAGAAAACTTGAGCTATGTGGACACCAGTGTGAGAGATTGTTTCCAAAAAGGACGAGGAGAGGAAACAGCTAGGACAGAGGAGAGTTCAGAGGATGAAGAGATCGATGTTGATGAAGTTGATGAAGATGATCACAACCACCAAAGGATAAGAGAATCCGATCCTTGGGCCTCTCCCCCTTCTCATTCAGCAGAAGAGATCCGTCTGGGATCAACAGGAAGCTGCGAAGACGGCAAAGACGAGGATATTGATGTGATTGGAGGCTCCAGTCCCGTCCCTTCTCCAGTGATCATCAGCTGGTCGGATTCTTCAGAAGCTGAGGGAGAGGAGACGGACGAGGATGTCGACGTCGTTGGAGAAAAGACGGTCTACGCTCCATCAGGACTCTTCACTGCTATGAGTAAAGGTGAGCTCGAGAATACTGGACTGGGATGCTCTTAGACTAGAAAGTGATTTAAAGTCAGTTCAAAACAGACAGAAGAACATCATTTAATTGTTTACTTGTCTTCAGGTTTAGCTATTTGTTTTAATTCCCAGAAAATGTTCTTGAACTTGTTTTATTTAGCTTTGGTAGACGGATGTAGTTTCATTCAAATGTTTTTATAGTAATCCGTCCAGGGGCAGGCCCACTGACAATCACGTGAGGGAACACTGTTTTGGGGAAAAGAGCTGTAACTGACATGTTGATTTGGAGTAAAGATAAAAACCTGCAAAATAAAGTTGAGTAAAATCAGCAACTGAATTCAACCGCTCCGTGCAGTTGGTACGCATATATTCCGTTTTAGCTCTCGAGTTGACTTTTAATCATTTTCCGACTGCCAAAGTTGACTGGGATTGTTCATTTTTGTGTTTTTAGATGTTTAAACTTTATGTAGACCTCTGAATGTGTTCGTGTTAAAGTTCAGCACACTTTATGATTCCTATTCTGATATTGAGCAAAGTTTGTATTAACTTCAAGTGTTGAAGACATCACTGATGGAACAGTTAAAAATACATGCGAAAAAACAATCAGGTTTCTGTACTGTGAAAATCAGGAGTGTTTTATTTGTTGTAAATATGACTATGACTGTTTTAGTTGTATGATTAATAATGTCCGCCTACGTTCTAAAGTTTGTAAATGTTCCTGGAAAACTCTTGTCTTCCTTGTTTTACCGTCAAGTTTGTGTTTGATAATGTTCCTTGTGGCATTTTTGAGATTTTTCTGATTTCTACAGTTAAGCTATCCTCTCTACTTCTGGTGTTGCAGCAGCTTTATTCTGTGACCCCCTGCTGCCGTCACTGAATATGTGTCTCTTCATTAGTATGTTGTTTTCATTTACTACCTAAACACATCTTTGGGATTTAGCCAAAAACAAACAAATGTAAAGGCAGGTATCCATTGTTCGGTCTGCAGGTTTTCCTTTTTGACCGTTTTTGAGAAATTGACAACAAGGTCTTGGTCTTTGTTAACCACTTTTAAAAATACAACAATTAGGACAGAAAGCAGCAGAATGTGCACCCCAAAATAAACCAATGTTCAATATTTGTTGCGTTAGTGGTGAGGATTAGACGCACGAAAGTGAATGTAAATGAACAAGCAAACACTGCCTTGTTTATTTGCTTTTGTGAGCTCCATGCACACACGTAGTCAGCTTTATATTTATACCAGCAGGATGGAAAAAACCTGACTGATAATGATTACACTTAGGTTTCAGATTCAGTGAAGTGTCAGGTAAACCAACGTTGGTATCTTTAAAAAATATCTGAAATAGAAGATTATAATTGTCAGTATGTTTAATATTCTACATATAAGGCGAGTTAAAATGGCAACACTATTTACAGTTAAAGTAGAAAAAAACATGAAAGCTTTTTTTTTTTGGCCTGACAACTTTCAACAATTACTAAGCACATTAAATTGTTTTAATTGATCATTTCTAGCTTTATTTAATACAGCGCAGCTTGAACACTGGAATACTGAAATCGCACAGAGGACTATGTAAATGTTTTAATATCACTGTTTTGATGTTTTGTCTGTATTTGCTGCACTTTTCTTGTTGCATTTTTTTCAAAACTGCAAAGGTGTTACATATGTTTATGTGAAGCATTATTGGTAGTAAGTTGCAAACCATTTCTTTAAATCAGTATTTATTGTATTTTACTTATTTTCCTTGAAAAGGTCCCAATAATATAGTCACACACTGTTCTATAAGGAAAGAAGAAAATGTGAATTGAAAATTAGTTTATTAGTTTTCAACCTGTGGATCAACGTCCTACACAACAACAAAACACATCTGAGCTGCACTGCAGCACAGTCTGCTGCAATGAGGGGAGGGGGGGTGTCCTGGTCACGGTGTGATGTTGGAGAGTCATCTCCCCTCTGTTTGGCTCCAGCTCCCTGAAGAACTTCTCCACTCATCATTGCCCAGCTCAGGTGAGAGTACAGCGCAGGTGTGTGTCTGCATGTGAGTGTAGGGACCTCTAAACCAAATAAAAAGACACTGTATGAGTGTCAGCATGTGTGTGTATGTGGAGCATATGTTTCCCTGTGCTTTAACAGTGCGATATTGTCTCTTATCACACTCTGCTGCAGCTTCTGTAAATCATCAGTGGTGGTTTTGGGGGCGGCTCAAGTCAAGAGAAAGAAAAGGTTTGAGGAGAGAGAAAGACAGAGAGTAGGGGTTTGTGGGTAAAGGGGGGGGGGGGGGTCGCTGTCTCAGTCTCAGCCTGTCCTCCTCTCAGTGCTGGATGCGCCTGATGGACTGGATCTGGGGGTCTGACAGTGGGAGCCCCAGTTCCTCCAGTGCTGGTAGTCTCCACTATGTCTCTCACACTCCATGATGTACTGCTGACCCCTGTAGCCGGGGTGCTGGTAGCACACAAATCTGCAGAAAAGGCAGAGAGTATTAGAAGGACCATTTTAGCAGCTCTTTATAACACAGCTCTTGCTTAAAGGCTTATAAAACAGATGAAGAGATATGAGACGGGCGTAAAATCGAGGGGCATTTAAAAAAAAAAGATGCAAAACATCTTTTTACACTTCTCAGGTACTTACGCGCCGCACTGCACGTGCATGGAGCCGACCTCTGGCATCATCCATCCCATGGCCTGCAGAGAGGGATAGTCATCACAGATCTCCACACTGCGACCCATGAAGTTCTCCTTCTCAAAGATGATCATGCGACTGCTCTGGTGAGACTGTGAGGGGGTACACACAGAAAGAACATTCGATTTTTCTTTCCTGGGGTAGTTTTGTTTTGTTGTCCTGAGGATCACTAAAAAGCAGGATGCAACTCACAGCGCAGTAGATGGGGCGCAGAGACATGAGGCGCTCAACGTGGTAGGAGAGGGATCCGCTGTAAGCGTCCCAGTGGGGGTACTCTCCTCTCTCCAGGATGAACTGCTGGCCCTGGAAGTCATGGTGCTCGAAACCCACCCAGCTGTTCAGAGAGAGAGAGAGAGAGAGAGCTGTTCACACAAGTCTCCTCTTGATGTTTGGGATGGATGAATAAGGAGACAGCAAGAAGGGTAAAATAGTTTTTCTTGTTTCACCCTATCGGTGTGCCAAACATCATGCATTGTCTGTACTAAGGTTTTGTTTTTGTCACCAGGGAAAGAGTTAGTGAGACTTACGCTCCACTCTCTACCCTGATGGAACGGATGTTGTCCAGTCCACACTCCTGAATGTTGCAGCACTCGGAGGTGAACTCCAGGCACTTGCCCTGGAAATGCTCCTGCTCGAAAACAGTCACCTGGTGGGGATTGATTGGAGAGGAAGCAAAGAAGAAGGGAAGGTGATGAGTTGATATCACATATCGCATATGCAGAGATCTTAAATCACATACTTTGATCGGAAATGTGAGCGTGTGTTTACCTTGAAGAAAGGAGCCATGCCCATTCCTGAGTTGACCAGGGGCTGCATCATGGGATACCTTGTAGTTCTGTACATCTTTACTCCTGTGGTTGCAAATGA